TAGCAAGTCAGTCAGTTGAGGGTAATCTTAGCTTACATATATGAATAACATTTTATTTGTTCTTACAGATGTCTGAGATACAGCTCAGGGGTGACCTCATCGCTCTATACTACTACCGGAAGAGGGGTTGTAGAGAGGTGGGGGTTGGTCTCTTCTGCCATGCTTGCAGTGAGAGGACTAGAGGGAACAGTCATAAGCTGAGACAGGAGAGATTCAGATTAGATATTAGAAAAACAGTTTCTCACTGTTAGGGTGGTCAGGCACTGGAATAGCCCAGGGAGGTGGTAGAGTCACCATCCTTGGCAGCGTTTAAGCGGTGTCTGGATCTGGTGCTGGAAGATATGGTTTAGGGGTTACAGCGGTGACAGGTTTACAGTTGGCCTGATGATCTTGAATATCTCATCCAACCTTGATGATTCTGTGATTCTATAACCTCTCTATATAGCTTACTTAACAATCCCTAGTAAGTCATTGACCGGTACATGTGTAAGATATGTATTCAGGTGCTATAAAAAAAGGTGTTTTACTTTAAACGGTTATGGCCAGTGTGAACTGAATGCTAAGTATTCATAAAAGACCTAATATAAATGCAAAGTGAATTTTATTAGTAACTTCAGATGAGCATTGCTTTGAGCTGTACTGCTAGGTAGGCAGCTGAGATTTTGCTCTTAAACTGAAAGCTGTTTTTAAATTTTTTTTTCTTCTAGTAATGCTGTCCTGCTTTATTACTTTTGTTCTAATTTGACTGGTACAATTAAGGTAATAAACAATAAGCAGTTGGTTGAAGTGGTTTTTAATCTCTAATAAGCATCAATGCAGGTGATCTTAGAAAAGAATACTCTATGCTTAATTTAAGAATTTATTGTTAAGAGCACTTAAACTGAATGAAATATTGCATCTCTTGTCTGAAGAGGTATCTGTCTATAGGCACAGCTAATCTGTGTACTGATGACTCGCTTTTTTTTGTGAGTTATCTGGGGAATAAACTGACTCAGTTTTGAGTTTGTTGCTGCTGATGTGCTTCCTTTAATAGCAAGACTGAGCTGCTCAATTACTAATGTGAATATGCTAATATTTACATTTAAGTGAATGAGTGATGATGATAGGAAATTTCTTTTTTAAGTATAGCCCCAATAAAAACTATAAGAAATGTTGCTCGCAGTTTTTCTTGTTTTATACTTGTCCTTTTCTAGTGTTTGGCTTAAGGAAATGTACAGAATTTTCTCAGTTTATGTTTAAAGTATTTTTGTCCCTTAAAATAAGTGCAAGAGATCTCATAAGAATGGCAGCTGCTTAATAGGATTACATGATAGTGTTTCTGAGAAACGGTAATTACTGGCCATAGAAGCATGGCTGTATGCAGAAGTTCTTATACTGGTTTTGGATTGTGGCATCACACACATATTTCAGAGATTGGTTGTGGGGTTTGTACAGCATATAGTAGATAGCTGTAATTGTGGAGGCTTGATGATACAGTTCACAGAATGTAGTGGATGTTAGATAAATGGATATTTGATTTAATAAGGATTACAATAAAGATGCATCTCTAATTCTGTTTTAGTAGTAAGTAGTGTGATGCATAGCTCCAGCATGGCATTTTAATAGTCCTGAGGTCATACTACTGATACAGTGTCTCATTCCATGTTAAAGTTTTATAGTTCATGGTTGTTCATGGTTTCAGTAGCCTAAAAGTGCTACATTTCCATAGATGTGTGTCCTTCTGTGTATGCTGCTTTGGTTCAAGTCAGAACACATCTATGGCACTACTCTGGATTTTACAATTGCTTCCTTGAAGAGGATTCAGACCAGATTCTGTAGACTAAGTAGGGAATACGTGCGTTTGTGGCAGTTCATTCAAGTGTATCCTTGACAGTACCAGTATAAATGTGCCATGAAAGATAACTGTTACTGCAAATCTTAGGTTTAATTGAGTTTGCTTTTAACATTTTGTTTGCATCCAATGAACTGCCATATAGTAAAATTAAAACTACAAATAAGAGGCAGTGGCGTATAGGAAACTGAATGCAGAACACCTTCTTCTGCAAATGCAGTTTTCTATATTTTACTGGCATTCATGGATCTGATTTAGCAGACAGTCTAAGCAATAAGGTAGAACACTGATTACATTGGTGGGTTTTTTTGACTTAGAGAAAACTCTAAAAGGAAAGAAATAATACAAGAAACAGAAAATCACTGAAAAGCTACTTACTAGCTTAATAGCTTTACAAATTTAGATTGTATTTTATTGAGATATATTGCCAAGATATGGCTCAAAAGTCAGTCAGTGGTACACACAGTTAAGAACAAGTGGTATTGCCATTGACCTGTGGGTTACATATTTCTTTGGCAGTCTCTGCTGCTTTTTTATTGAATTATTTTTTTTTCCCTGAATGAGCACACACACTTGCAGTAATTGAAGCTAAAGTGTAGTATTTGTGTTCCAGCAAGAGGCTGGAATTTTTGCTTTAAGATACAGATCTGTGTTTGTGCTAGTCATTATGTATATTGCTTTAGATAATTGGAGTCAACAGCATGTTGCCTCAGGTTTAGATGATCAAGTTCTTGAAAAAGATAACAGCCAAGGTTGCAAAGTAGAAATAACTTCTCCTTTTGTTTTATTTACCTTAAAGATATTTGGCAGATACAGTTTAATCTATTAGTGATATTTTCTTTATTCTAATGTTTTTGCTCTTTCAGCATTATCGGGGAAGTCATATCTGTCAGCTTTAAAAACTTTCTGGACATCATGTACATAAATATGGTGGACTAAAGCATTTGAGTGAAAATTAGACAATATAACCCATAAATCCATGTACCTGGGCACACATAAACTGCAGTAAGCCAAAAGTGAGTGAATGAATAAGTACACTACTGCCACCATCTTCTCATTCCCACTCATTTGCCAGGATTTCTCCTGTGTGTACTGTAACACAACCACCTGACCGAACGAAGGCTCCAGTGTCAGTCTATAAGTTTAATACTAGTAAAGCTTAGTTTCTTATTTGTAAATAAAAGAATGAATACAAAATTCTCTCTTCCTCCCAACCCCCCCCGAACTTCTGTGTATAGTCTAGACAGTGCTCTTTTGAGGTGTGTGGACTCTATTTTGGAGACCACTGGTGTACAACAGCAACGTTTTAGGAAAAAAGATGTTTTTCCAGAAAAGGAAACTAGAATTCAAGTGATACTCAAATAGTGAATTTCCAAGTCAAGACTTTCTTGATTTTTTTTCCATAAATAAAATGGGTTTGAAAGTCATATTGGTTTAAAATGGATTTACAATTTTATGACAGGGTAGTCACATAAAGTATTGTAGTAAATTGAGCCCATTCAAACGAAAGTGTTTTACTTGTAAGCAAGTATAAATATCTAGGAATAAGCAACTGTGAGACATATCTGAAAATAAAGGTGCTATGTTTAGAGCTTTAAACCTAGAAACGAATTAGATGTTCTAGTGGGAGTATGTGAAACTATTTTTTTGGCCACAACTAAGTTTCTTTTTTGGTGGAAGAGTAGGCAGTTGCTTCTAACTTGTAGTGACATTAATGTGACAAGCATTGAGTTCTGCACACAATTGGCAAAGTCCTTTTTAAAAAGGACTTTTGAGAATGGGGCAGATGTATCAAGCTAATAGAAAGGATCAAATAGTAATCAAATTAATTACTGAGTAAGAAACTGAAGAAAAAATGACTTTAATTTCACAGCAAGAGGACTCGATTGTAGTTCCTACTTGTATTCTTCTGTAATTGAAGTCAGAGTAAATCAAAATGGAAGTAAAATACGTCCTCTTAATTGGTAATAAGTATTGGAATATCCTGTCAACAGAATAAGGAATTTTTAACTCTCTAAAAATCAAAATTTTTGTTTTTCTAACTTAACCAATATATCTTAAAGATTTATGTAAGTGAGGCTCTATTCTCTCTGTAGTGAAGAACAACCCCCAGATACACTTTATTAGTACCATGTTACTTTCTGACTTTTCTGGAGATCTAGAGATATGAAGAAATAATGCAACTGTCTCAAAAAACACCCAGAGTTAGGGATGTTTTAATTTGCAAAGGAGAGAAGGAAGGCGAAGTCCAGTGTTTTTAATAAATACCTAATGGGTATTATGAAAATAGGTTTTGTATTTCTGTACAAAAGGCTCATGAAAGAAAAATTACATTTATAGAGTACTGAATATTTGGAGTAAATGTGACACATACTGAAGAGTGAAAAGCAATCTGGAATAACTGGATTCCTTAAGTGAACAAAATTTATTCTACTGAATGAGGAAGATGTCATGTGCATATGAAAATCTATAAGATGAGTAGAAGCAGTGATATGCTTATTTTTAATTAAATAGTCATACAATGCATATGTACAAAAAGGTTTAAGTAAAATTTTATCATAAGGCTTTAACTGTTGTTATTTTCAGATTCCTGGATTGCCTGGCTTCTTAAGGCAGGTGTTCATATAAAGCTATGAAGTCCAGATTTAATGTATCATTAAACTCACTGGTTCATTAAAATTCTTGTGCATTTTAAAATGATTTCTATATGTAATAAGATGGTTTTATTCCTAAATGTAGGTTTGTTATAGCCTTGTTTTGAAAAGTTTAATTTAAATGCCTGGGATTTTTGTGTAAAAGAGCTTATAATATGAAGCCTTTCTTCAAGCTTTTAAAAATTCTGTTTCAATTTAGTTACAAAACCTAACATAGATGTTCTAGTTTTTATTTTATATGAAAATTCTTAGATCTTTCACAAGCCAAATATGTAAAGCTCACAAAACAT